ATGGTGCAAATCGTGCACTCGAATGGGTAGTTTCTAGTCTCTCACATGAGGATCCTACGGTCCACATTCCTTTTCTCTCTGCTTAGGAAAGCAAAAAGATTGTTGAGCTCAGTGCTAATTCAATCATCACCTGGATCGATCTAGCACATAAGTTCCTCATTAGATTTTTTCTATTTGGAAAAACATCTATGTTGACATCTTAAGCTTTAGGTAGAATGGTGGTGGAAACTTGTATGAGCTTGGGACAGGTTCAAGTTGATGTTGATGAGCTCCCCTCATCATCATCAATCTAATGAGGTGTTGGTCCATACCTTCATTGAAGGTTTGGAGCGTAACACAAAAATTGAGCTTGATTCAGCTGTAGGTGGACATGCCTTAGAGAAAACATATGTTGAACTGTACACCTTGTTGAACTGGATATTAGGGAAATCCAAAGTGGAACGGAGGGGAACTGAAACTTGTTTTTAGAAAATAGCAGATGTGTTAGAGATAGATGTTATGACTACTCTGACTGCACAGATTTTTTTCATGCAAAATATGATGAGTACATATTTCAGCAACTTGGTATTGGGACGACAACTCTCTCAAGTTAATGCATATCAACAACCACTGTCTTGGTGCAAGATTTGCGAATGAAGTGGTCACACTGCAGATATATGTGGTGCAAATCCAGACGCTATAAATTTTTTAGGCTATGCCCAGAGAGGAGATGGTCAAAAAAAATATGGGAATTCATATAACCCAAGTTGGCAAAACCTCCCAAACTTTTCATGCGGTGCAAATCAAAATCAAACCCAAGGGCAGAATCAGTACAGGCCTCAAGGTTACTAACTCACAGGGGTTTCATCAATAGATTCAGAGGGAGAGACCTAAGAAGCAATCAGGGAACATGAGTGTTGAGGAGATACTTAAGAAAATTATGGCGGATCAAGCTCAGTTAGTCATAGATGTACGAAACAATCAGTTGGCTATTTAGAATTTTGAGAAACAATTTGGGTAATTTGCTAGTGACCAAAATTCACGACCATAAAGAGGATTGCCTGGAAAAACTAACCCAAATCCTAAACAAGTGAATGCAGTGAGTACACACAGTGGGTTGCAATTGGAGGAGCTAGCTCCTATGAAAAGCAATACTGAAGCGGTAAACAAAGAGAGTGAACCAAAAAAGATTAACCCTAACGAGAATGAAGCAGTTGCACCAGCTAAAAAATGCAACCAATAGTAAGACCTCCTCATCCATTCTCTCAAAAGTTCAAGAAATAGAAGGAGGATGAATGTTTTGGTAAGTTTTTTCCTCGTTTGAAACAAAATCCATTAACTTGCCTTTAGTAGATTTATTGCAGGGTATACCTAGGTATGCAAAATATGTGAAAGATATTGTGGCGAATAAAAGGAGGCTGAAAGAATATGAGATAATTACATTTACTGAAGAGTGTAACTCCAGGACCCAGAATAGGTTTCCCATCAAATTGAAAGATCCGGGTAGCTACTGTGCATATTACTCTAGGGAAAACTATCCATGCTCGAGGGTTTCGTAATCTGGGAGCGAGTATAAGCCTAACGCCAACTTCTTTGTATATAAAAAAATAGGGTTTGGGTTATCCCAAACCAACGACCATAATTTTGCAGTTGGGGGATAGATCTGTAGCTAGAGTTGAGGGTGTTGTGGAAGATGTGCCAGTGCTAGTGGGATCTCTAATTTATCCTATAGACTTTATAGTATTCAATTTTAAGCCTAAACCTGGGTCCCATTCATCTTGGGCGACATTTCTTTGCAACTAGTAGAGCAATGATAGACGTGGTAGCTGGGCAGATCACTATAGAATTCATGATAAAGTACAGGTTTTTGATGTGTACAAAGCCTTAAATATTCCACCTTTGCATGAGGAGTTGTCTACCATTACGTGATAAATCTTGAGGAAGAAACCAAGTATATAGCAACCAAGGATTCTCTAGAATAAGTGTTGAGGGGTGATGGCATTTATGGACATGTGAGGCACATGCAATTGTGCAATTCCTAGATGTGTCATTGTTATTTACTTTTGTAGAATGTTCGGAGCCTTTAAATAGGGTGTTGGGTCCTCCACCCAAGCCCTTCATTGAAGAAGCTCTGAAGCTGGAGTTGAAAGGACTGCGAACCCACCTCAGGTATGTATTTTTTGGTGAAACAAAACTTTACCAGTTATTTTGTCTACAATATTATATGATGAACATGTGGAAGTTCTATTATTGATTCTGAAAAGGAGGAAAGCAACTTTGGGATGACAAATGTCAGATATCCATGGTATTAGCCCAACTTTGTGTATGCACAAGATATACACGGAGGATGGGTAAAGGTCTAGTGCATAACATAAGTGGAAAATAAATCCTTTGATGAAGGATGTGGATAGAAAATAAGTTATCAAGTGGTTGAATGCAGGGATCATATACCCAATATCCGACCACAAATGGGAAAGCCCAGTGTAGTGTTTGCCCAAACAGGCAGAATGATAGTGGTGACTAATGAAAAAAATGAGTTGAGACCTACAAGAACAGTGACATGGTGGAGCATATGTATGGACTACAGGAAACTCAATGAAGCCACCAGGAAGGACCATAATCCGTGACCTTTCATTGATGAAATGTTGGACAGGTTGGCTGGCTAAGAGTATTACTGTTTCCTTGATGGTTATTTAAGTTATAACCAGATTGTATTTGCACCTGAGGATCAAGATAAGATCACATTCACCTGTCCATATGGCACGTATGCTTTCAAACGCATGCCGTTTGGCTTGTGCAATGCACCAGTCACTTTTCAAAGATGTATGATGACAATCTTCCTTGATAAGGTGGAAGATTTTGTGAAAGTATTTATGGACGACTTCTTGTTATTTGGTTAGTCTTTTGATTATTGTTTAACTAACCTTGATAAAGTCCTTTCTAGGTGTGAGGAGACTAATCTGCGAGAAGTGTCACTTTTTGGTTAGAGAAGGCATTGTGCTGGGGCACAAGGTATCCAAGAGTGGACTAGAGGTAGACAAATCAAAGATAGAAGTGATTGAGAAGTTGCCACCTCCAATATCTGTGAAGGGATAACGGAACTTTCTTGGCCATTCTAGCTTTTACAGGAGGTTCATCAAGGACTTCTCTAAAACTACAAGATCCATGTGTAGCTTATTGGAGAAAGTGATGAAGTTTATGTTCGATGAAAAATGTTTGGAGGCGTTTGAGATGCTAAGTAGAAGTTGATTGAGGCTCATATCATTATTGATCCAAGCTGGGAGCTCCCGTTCGAGCTGATGTGTGATGCAAGTGATATAGCTATTGGGGCATTGCTGGGGCAGAGAAAAAACAATGTGTTTCACTCTATATACAATTCTAGCAAAACACTAGATGCAACCCAATTTAACTACACTTTGACTGAGAAAGAGATGTTGGGTCTGGTTTATGCATTTGATAAATTCAAGTCATATTTGGTGGGAACAAAGGTAATAGTCAACACTGATCATATGGCTATTCGATACTTATTTAACAAGAAGGATGCCAAACCTAGGCTGAGTAGGTGGATTCTACTCCTATAAGAGTTTGATATATAAATAAGAGATAGGAAGGCGACAGAGAATCAAATAGCCAATCATCTGTCCCTATTAGAGGACTCGACGCATTTGGAGAATGAAGAACAAATTTGTGAAGAGTTTCCTGATGAACAACTGTTTGCATTAGACATTGCTTAGGTGCCATGGTACGCGGATATTGTGAATTATCTAATGAGTGGTTTATTTCCACCGGAGGCATCAATACACCAGAAAAAGAAGTTTAAAAATATGATGCAGCCTCTATATATGGGATGAGCCCTATTTGTACAACATTATGGGGCCATTCATGTCGTCCTCAGGTAATCAATACATTCTAATCACGGTGGACTACGTGTTTGAGTGGGTGGAAGATGCATAACCAACAAATGATTCCAAAGTGGTTGTCAAATTTATCAGGATACACATTTTCACTAGGTTTCAAACGCCAAGGGCTAATCAGTGATGGAGGTATGCATTTCATCAATAACTCGATTCATAGTATGTTAGCAAAGTATGGGGTGAGGCATAAGGTGGTGACCGCATATCATCCACAAATTAACCGGCAGGTTGGGGTATCTAACAAGGAGGTCGTGCCGATCCTTCAGAAGACTATGAATTCCCAAATAAAATATTGGGGTTACAAGCTAGATGATGCCTTATGGGCATATGAGACTACTTACAAGACACCGATAGGGACTTCTCCTTATCGAATGGTCTTTGGAAAAGCTTGTCACTTGCCGACAGAGTTGGAACACATGGTGTATTGGGAAATAAAGAAGTTTAATCTGTAACAATTCTAAAATGACTATGCTAAGTAATGCTTAATGTATCTAGAATGCCTACGATTAGAACGGGTTCACACGGATTGATGCGTAGAAGAGACTCTGAACCCTTGCAACAGCCAAGACAACTAACTTGGTGAGTTAGATGATCTAGGAAAGGTTGGGTCCAACCATGTAGGGCATCCAAATATGAAGATTTACTCGGATGAGTCTTAATCGGACTTAAAAAGGGGTAATCTTAAGTTTGGAGGGTCTAGGGGTAAAATAGTCTTTTCCAGGATAAGGGTAGTATTGTAATTAGCCTAAATATTTAATTAATTAATTAATTAATTAATATGGTGGAGGGGCAATTCGTGTAGGAAGGGCTGAAATTGACTTTTGAGCGAAATCTTGCTCCACCCGGGTTCGAACCTTGGTGGAAGCAATGATTTAATTGATTTATTGTATTTGGTGAATTAGTCAAATTAATTAATATTTAATTTGCTGATTTAATTAAAGGAAAATCAGATTTTTGATAAATAATAATAATAATAATAATAATAATAATAATAATGAGGAGTCCTAGTTTGACTAAGTCTCCACCTAACTCTCCTAATCCTAATCCTCTCATTCTCACGTTTTTTCATCAGCAAAAGAACTGAAAATAATAGTTCTTCACTCTTGAAGAACTTACATGCAAAAGTCAAACGAAAAGCTAAGCTAAAAACGAAAATCAACAACATTCTTCTTGACGGATTGGGGTTTGGATTTTGGTGGTGAGGAAGTGGTGTCTTGGGAATAGGAAGCATTGAAACAAGTGTTGAACGACATTAAGGTATGAATTTTCTTCTCTCTTGGCCCCTTTCCAAAGAGACCCTTAAGGTTCAGTTTAATCGCAATTGAAAAACTAAGGTTGTCCCCGTTGCATGCCCCTGTCATTAGATCCTTTGAAATATTCAACGCATGTGTTGGTATGTCTTCTGGTAGATAAGTTTAGGTTTGGTCTTGATTATGTATTGAATTTGTATTTGGAAATTATATAAAGAACGAAAGATTTATTCCGGAGAAGTGTTTTACGTTATTTGTTTAAGCATGAGCGTGCTGTAAATTAACTATGTTGCTGCCTTAATTTTGTGTGTAATAAATGTTGTGTTTTCGTATATGTAAATGTTAAAAGTGTGATGTTCATATAAGGGTAATGTTGCTGGAAAAATGTCACCCGAGTTACTCCAGGAATCAACATTAAAACTTCAGAGAAAGATGGATTGAAAGAGACTCGGCCAAAAAATTGAAAAAGTGAGCTATGTTTTAAAAAACTTTAAAAATTCTAAGGTCATTGGGAATTGAACCCAAGACCTCACAAAATGCAAATTACACAAAAAGTTCATGAGAAAAACGAAAAGAAAATTAAATGTGGTGAGCAACCTCTTGAAGAGATGAGAGAGTTAGGAGAAAGAAAATGTGGTGAGTGGGGATTGAACCCACAACCTATTGAATAGAGGAGTGAATTAGGAGAAATATAAAAGAGAAAAATAAAAATGAGGTGAGTGGGGATTGAACCCACAAACTCTTGGATAAAGTTAAGAGAAAAATTAAGAGAAAAAGAATAAGTTTGTGAGGGATTGATCCCACAATCTCTTTGCCTTAAACGAGAAAGAGAGGAGGGAAAATAAAGAAATATTGTGCGGGTGATGGGGATCGACCTAGGGTCCCCCAAATCTGAAAAATGCAAGTACCAACTTTAATATAATATTAAGTGTTGGTCAAGGAATTCGAAATCGAGTTTCCTTGTCCAATTCCGTATTGACACATAAGTGGTACATGAACAAATATTTAATGAATGCGTCTCTAAGGATCGAAATCAAGATCTTGGCATACCAACAAGATGCATAAGTCTTGTACCATATAATCTTGGGTAAGTATGAGTCACTTAGACGAATTATGAATGAAGCCTCATGATTTGTACGTATGGATCCATAAGTACATCATACGTTTAAAAGTAAGCGAACCTAAGATGTATGTAATGAAATGGTGTGAACCTAGGAGGTTTAAGTAAGAGTGTGAAACAAACAAAAAGGCCAAGCGCATTGGCATATGACGAAATGAACATTCACGTAAGGGGAGTTTAGAATAATGTAAAGTCAAATCTCAAGCATAGTTTAAAAGAATGTGTTAAGAATGAATCCATAGTTAATATGTAAAGAAAAGAATGACTTCATGACTATAGGCTACTGCAAGTGAGACAAATTGCATCTACGCCTAAAATCAATGTCACTAAATGAAATGACTAAGAGAGTGTATTTATTCTAAATGATGAACAAGCAAAGAAAGAGTGGCTACATGAGGATAGGCTAGTACAAGTGAGACAAGATGTATCTACGTCTAGAATCAATGTCCCTCAATATGAACTCCAAGAGAGCATATGTATGTTATACGATGAACAAATAATGAAAGGTGAGTAAAGATGAAATGAAAAGATGTTAAAAAAGAATAGGGTGGCATCACAATATGAAGCTATTGCAAGTGAGACAAGCTGTACCTACGCCAAATATAAGGTCACCAAAAGTACTCACCTAAGTGAGTGTTGAAAATTAAGAGGCAAATCTCAATCACACTCTATATGTAAGTGTAAGGACAATTCACACTTAATACCTAATGATGAGATGAGAAATCATCTAATGAGCTATGATGCCTCATGCTAGAAGCCAGCTTCTATGATATATGAGATAAATGTAATAGAACTTCATACTGAGCACAGATAGGCTAGTTATGAGTCGCGATTCCTTCTTTCGGGAAGGCAGAGGTTCGTGTAATTCTCATGAGATGAGACTGTCCATCCAGATGGGTACTAGTGTCCTTATATCTCCTAGTCTTTGAACCTATACTTCCAATATAGGGTTCTAGAAGGGTTTGAGTCCCTATATACGCTAGCATGTTTTAGTTCACTTTGGCTGGTGATTCCACCTCTTTTTGGTGTGTGGTTTAACACTGGATTTCATGATGCTCACACGATATATGTCAGTTAAGGTTTCCAAAGAAAAAATGAGGCCAACCTCAAGTAATGCACATCATTAAATGAATGATACCGAAGATGTTAGGATAGGATAATCAAGAGATGAGCTAGACTTGAGTAATGATACTAGGTCATTCTAGGTCATTGCACAACAAACCCGCTGAAAGTCTTTAACTACATCCTAGGTATGACTGGTGTTTACACTAACTTACGGATGAATGAAAATGAAGTACGTATGAATGAATGAAACAGACTCAGTGTTTGCTAAATAAGGCTCCCTAGTTGAGGTCCCATATGTTGAACCCTCATTTTGGGAAGTCCTAATGTCAAGTCCATGACTCCAAGGTCTCATGGCATATGGAAAAATGATATGAAATGTGTTATGTGTTAATAAGCAATATGTTATGTTTTGTGTGCAATATGCTATGTATGATGATGCATGTTACTCTATAGCATGACTTTCCTAATCTGATTTGGCAAAGTCCACTGACTAGACTTTCCATAACTCATATTGTTAGGAGAGAGCTCTTCTTAATCACTCATGTCCTTGGTGTGTGCTTGCATATACCCATACTTAGTACAAGTGTGTACTAATCCCAAACAACTCTCTACTTTTAGGTGTAGGTGCAAGTGAACGCTTGAGCTTACGAGACTACGCTGAAGTTATCCGGACGTGGAGCATTCATCTGTACTTGGTAATCCCTCTTGCTTTTGAGGATGCCTATCTTTTATATTCTAGCTTAGATGTAGGTATGAGCTAATGGAGTATGTTCCACTAGTGTTCTTTCTCAGTTATTTTCAGATATTGTATTGGTGCCATTTTGGCAACTTTATATTCTTATACAGATATGACTATGTCTTTCATTTGATTATCTTGATACTAGATTTTTGGTATGAAACTCTTATGAGTTTATGTAGATGGTATTATACGAGTTCAATATTTCTCACTATGAAGTCTAAGTAAACTAAAAGTTCAAAATTTTTTGCTAAAATTAACCTAAATGATTTAAGGATGACGTATGTAGGCTTGTCTGCGACCTCTGAGAGGTCAACGATGCCAGTTTTGGCTAGGGTATAGACTCCGATCATGACAGAATCTGGATGTTGAGTTAGCCGACAGGAATTAAGACTCTAGAGGACCTCGTGATGACTCCGCTCGCGCGCTTAGGTAAGGTTTCTGAATCTTTCACTTAATAAATGGGTTTTACTCGAATATATCCGACCCAACATATTTTCCCCAATATTTTAACCATGATTTTTTTTTCTAATTTCCCTATTCTCTCCAAGTTTAGAATCACTCTTTCTCCTTCTTTTTTTCTCTCCCATGCGATTTTCTGATCCCTCTTTGTGTCGTGAAACCTAGGAACTTCATCACCCTTGTCTTCTTCTTCTATTCCGTGTCGCCCGAGTATGTATCCTCCACTTTCTCTTTGAATTATGGGTAGGAATGAAGTTAAATTTGACTAGCTTATATATCCCTGATGGTGGGGATGCGAGTATGGATGGGTTTGTGTAATATTGCATGTTTCTTGACATACGAATTGTATTTCAAAGTCTTGAGTAGAACACAATGAATGTTCAGTAGGTTGTGTTGAATGGTGGTTATGGGAAGTTCTGCGTTAAGACAAGTTAAATTTGCTACCATAAATTTTTTTATGTTGCTGTGGGTGAGTATTGTGGTGTGTTTCCAACTATGTGTTCTGTATATATGCTTTTGTATGTCGAATTCATGAGTAGGCACATTCTAGGATGTTGTGGCCTAATGTTAGTGTACTTATTCACTCAAACTATTGAGTAGAATTATTAGTGACACTTGAATACTATACTGCTTCTTGTATTTAGGTGATTACATGAATTAACAGGTTGGGAAGTCTGAGTACCTAATTTGGGAATGGTTTGAACTAAGTGTGTGTGGTGTGCCCATACCACCCATATATAGCTTTTAGATGTGGCAATTTAGGCTGAATTTTGATATATCTGCAGGTACTCATGTCTACATCACAATGCACTGTGAAGGCTGTGGCTCAGCAACTCAAAATAAACGGCCAAGGAGAAGAAACTTACCAATAGAACAATCGGCTCCCAAAGGGCAAACCAAGAGGCATGGAGCCAAGATAGTGTCAAAGGAAGGAAAAAATTGGTACAAGAAGCATACTAAGGCTTCTTACTCTGTGATGCCTGCATTGATTGAGATATCCTAGCTCATGAGTTCCCACAAATCTTAAGGCGGATGTGAGAACTTAGAATGAATTTTGCATTTGCTAAGCCAAATGAATGCAACTTTAGCGTAGTCTGTGGGTTCTATGGGAATTGGGTGCCAGAGACTCGCAACCACTATGTCACTGTCCATAGTAAGAAAGTTCTTATCACTCCAGTGAGCATCAATGCTATCTTTGGGATGTCTGAGGACACAGAACCATAAGTTCTAACTCAGCTAAACATCCCACCTCTTAGTGGACCAAGCATAACGGTAAGAGATATCACAAATCTCTTATGTATGCTCACATTCTCCGAGAGACGTGAGTTTGGTTGAAGGTTGTGATGAACAACCTCATTCTAGGATTGGGATACACGAACATCTCTCATGAATGGGTGTTTCTTTAAATCAATGATGTGGAAGGATCGGGTTCATGAGGTCCACATGTATGCATTTGGAGGGGTCATTACAAAGATGTGTCATCTTGCAGGTGTTCTGGAGGAGAGCCTGGATTACATGGCACCACTGTACCCAACAGCAGTGGATATTACTGGTACGAAAGGGTCTGACACTAATTTAGGCCCCATTCTCACCATTGTTGAGCGCTACAGAGGAGATGAGCTGATCATGGCGAGAATGTATGTCTTGGAGATGCCCCGACACAGGATTGGCGGTAGGTCATCTAATATGATAGACTTTGGCAAGGTCAACGTGTGTTACCCATTGAATGCTTGATATTTTTTGAATATACTTCTTGAAAAGAAATATAAACGATCATATGCAATATATTTATCCAACTAAGATTCGGGGGTGATCCCACAGAGAATGTGGAAGAATATTATCAATAACAAATATTTAACTCTATAGTCGCTATATAAAAATAAGGGGGATTTATATTGAAATAATAATAAAATCAATTAAAATAGCTTTGAACTAAGTATTTATTTATATCCAAAGTAGTTTAAATGACTAGGAATGTGTTCCCCATAAGCTCATAACGCGGTAATCCTTGCAATAACAATTCTTTCCTAGTGTATTACATGCAAAGTGATAAGTTAGGTATCTCTAATTCCTTGGTCCTCCAACTAGAGAATTTCACCTCCCACCTTGGTTCGGCTACGTGTGTATAATTTACCAACCCTTACCATTACCTCATATTAGACATCACAATCGATATATGACTTAGTTATTACTTCACACCAATCGACACAAACCTATTAGATAGTATCACAGTAAATCTATACTGATAATTATTTTCTTATTAACTACCTCCTTGGTCCGGCAAGTAGGAACAAGACGAGTTTATAACGTTGTCCACCGTTAAAAGGACTTCTAAACGAAAGAATTATCAATGCATGCAAAACACTATTCAAGAATTGCTTAGTATCTAGTCATACTTTGTTAACTACCCATGGTATCCACAACCCTAGTTCTGAAATTTAGCTACTCATTATCTCAAAAAACACAATCAAAATTATTAAAATAAATATGCTTGTGTTAATGATAAGAACTTAAGAATAATAGCTAAACTATATTTTATTAATCACGAATACAAATAAATAATAAATGAAAAGAAAGAATAAACCACAATTGTTCGTCCTTCACAGCGGCCCTTTCAAAGGTCCAAAGCTTGAAGAAAATTTAAGTTGTGTCTTGTTTTTGTTCTTGGCCTCCTCCCCTAAATAATAATTACTATATCCTATTTATATATGTAGTAAACCCTAAACAAAATAATTGATTCCAAATAAATTTAGAAAACAAAATTTGGAAGTAATTGATTATTGTGTGTTCTAAAATTTATTTTTGCCACACTTTCCATTATAAGGGTTGGTCTTAATGGCTGCCACGTGTACACTACATTCAGTTTTCATATATCAGCCGCCTTTCCATATATATAATTGTATTATTTTATTCACATTAGTCCATTAAGATGCCTGCTTGATTTTCTTCTTCAACTTTCTATCTTTAATATATTTTAGCTCTAAACTTCTTCATTTTTCCACTAAATTAATCCTACAATTAAAATATGCAATTTAGCACAATCCATAAAATTTATGCTCAAAATGGACAAATATAAATGATAAATGTGAGGTAAATAATCATAAAAAATGTGTGTTTTGGCCTCACATCAATGCTCATGCTGAAGGATTGTTGGGTATTGGTTCTGGAGTTTAAGGAGCCCATTGAGACTGACATTCCGACGGATGAGGAGAAATTGCACACAGGTAGACTCGGATTCTGAAGATGAGATGGACTTAGCACAGGCGGGTGATAATGCCGATGGAAATAACGCCATGGAGGATTAATTAGGGAGTTGTTTTACCGTACCTTTCGAACTTCGTTGAATTTTTGTAATTGCAATGGGGACAATGCTATTGTATAAGTGTGAGGTGGCGTGAGCAACATATATGATTTTAATTGATGTTTCTTTTCCTGTTTTTGTTTTAATTTTGGGTTCCTTGGTAGTGTTTTTGTTCTTTATCCAAGGATAGTCACTTTGAACCGTACAAAAATACAAAAAGATTTTCTCTAGTAGGATGAATTCTAAAGTCATAGATTTAGTCAAGATGCCCAATGATAGATGGATGACGACTGTCTTAAGGGTAATTTCATCATTTGAGTCGTAGGTTGGGTTGTGCTAGTGTTGTAACTCTCTTAAAATCGTCTATATGAAAAAGCATGATTGAATTGATGTATGAATGCAGTGAATTTTTTTATGATATGAAAATGTACAACTTAAGATTTAATGAACCTTCAGCGTAATATGATTGTGTACTGGAATTGATCTTTCTAAATACAACTTGTTCCATGAGTGGTGAGCTTTGTAAGGATATCCATGAAAAATTTCTGAGTCTAGAACTTGACCAGGCTGTTATTGAAGCGAAATGTAGGTATTATTGTTCTTAAAAGATGACAACATAATTTCTTTGGAAATGGTTTAGAAATTGAGCCTGTTCAATAGCCTAGCTTGGCCAACTTGAGCCTGTGACCTTGATTTGTTTTAACCCACCAAATGAGCCGAATCCCTTTTATTGATACCATAGTTTGATCTCGACTCCTAATGCATTGTGTTAGGCTGAAAGGTAGAAAGAAATGAAACAAAAATTGAGAGGGTGGTGAAGCGTGGTTGTGGGTGAAAAGTAAAGGAAAAGGTAAGGAGATGCCCCAGGATTAAAAATTTGTGTGGCCCTGGTCGATAGGACATTGTGCACTTCAACGGAGGGAAACTCGAGTTGAAGATGGATAACTTAGTGAATACCTTCATGATGAATCTGGCCCTAACAAAAGGGTAATGTGCACCTTAACTCAAGAGAAATCTTTAAGTCAAGGGTGACTTTTGTTAAGTGTAAAAAAAATTAGCTTATACAGTGAATAAAGGTGCAAGAATCCAAAGGCAAAGGTAGGTAATACTAGGGAAATGGCTGAAGAAGACAAGTGCTAATGAAATAGAAAAGTTGTGATTGTAGGGAAAATGTTGAACGTAGTGCATTAGGGAGGACAAGTCACTATTGTCATCTAAATGAATCCTCCCTGACCCCGAGCCTATATTACAACTCAGACAAGTCCTATTTTATTTTAAGTATGATACACTTCATTAGTAGAGATGTACACAATGGTCAAGCTTATGGTTCTCAATGCATGCATGTGAATTCTATTCCTTAGTGTGAGTTGTTGTTGATGCCAAGTCCGTTTAGCTTGTTAATATAGATTGTTTATTGGTGTGAGAGGCACTTGTTGTCAAAATTTTAGTGATAAGTAATGGTGCACATGATTGATAAGAGTGTTGGTTGCAAAAGGTTGTCAACTCATGTACATGATACATGAATATCATGAAGTGAGATGTGTTGAGTGAATCATGAGGAAATCTCTAGGAGTATATGGTGGACACACAGTCAAATGTAATGAATCTAGGTCTAGGAGTAGTGAGTAGTTGTTCGAGGACGAACAAAGATTTAAGTGGGGTAGAGATCTTGGGCATATTTATATGCCCATAATGCTAAGTATGTGCATATTTATGCATAGTTTGAATTCACAAAGTATGTATTTAGAGTCGTATTGAGTCATTTATGTATTTCTGAGCTAACTGATATAATTATTTATGTAGGGAAGCTTATTAGGAGAAACGTGTACAAAAAGGGGCAAATGGAGAAATCGAAAGATTCAAGTCAAAAGGAAGCAAGGAAAAAGCTAAAGAAAATGCTTTAAGGCATTTGCGTGCTGGTTTGGTGTCGTGCAGAGGGAGCATAAAATCAATTATGAGAATTAAATTCAAGGTAGAATGCCTCGAATCATTTGCGCGTCGCGCAAAAGGCAATAAACCTTGGACAAGAATCTGAAGAACATCACGTGTCACGCGTCTGAGGCCCAGAATTGGTTGTTTTGACTTTTAGTATAAATAGGGTTTTATTTTATTTTATTAGATTATTCTTTTTCTATTTTTAAACGAGGACAACTGGAGAACTACGCTTTGGATTTTTTAAGGGTTAATTCTCTATCTCTTTTCCTTTCAATCTTATTGATAATTTAGAACTATTGTAAGTTTGTTTATTGAATTATGAGCAGCTAAATACCCAAGTTCTTGGGCTGTGGCTATAGGATGATGTAATCTTTTTGGTTTTGGGTTTATTATTTACCATCACATGAACTCTCTTATGTTCTTATTATTGTAATGATCACTACAGAAGTAAATTTATTGTCTGAATTGAACTCGTGAGAGGAATAAGAGCAAACAACATGGGGCTTAGGGAGCTTGTTGAAATCTAAACAGATAGGGTTGGTTCATCTCTAGGATAGGGATATACCTAGATACGGTGCTTGGGTCACCATATAGGAAGATAACATGCTTAATATTTTAATTATTCTATCCCCGCTCAACGATGTAGTTAGGTTGTTAAATGTTGTAGGCGATTAGAGGTAGAGAAACCATGATCATACATCTAACCTTGTGATTTAGTGATTCGATAGTTAATAATGACCCATTTAAAAGATCTTGATATCTTGGTTGCTGCTGATAGCTGCAGCCTTGGATCTTTCCCAAATCATTTTTTAAAAACTCATTATATTGAATCATACTAGTTATATTTCATTTTAAGTTAGAAATAGATAGCAAGCTTAAGTCCTTGTGGGTACGATACTTGCTCTCAAAAAAGAGCCACTCTATTACTTGCATGTGTTATTTGACAGCAACGACACTCTTCCACAAGATCGTCGGACACACCCATCACAAAGAGACTCATTTCATACCTCCGATTAGTCACCAAAGAAAAGGCATATTTAGACAACTTAATGAATTTCAAAGAGTATTCTTGAACACTCATACCTCCTTGACGAAGGTGGATGAACTCTTCCACTTTTGCCTCTCTTTTCTCCCTTGGTAAGAACCTATCAAGAAATTCCCTCCTAATGACTTCCCAACCTATGGGATCCACTCTTAAATCCCTTTTGTCCTTTCATTGTGTGTACCAAGTTTGAACCACATCCTTGAGTTGATAAACAACTAGCTCAGCCTTCTCATATGAACTCACCACCATAGCCGTACAAGATATGGTAAACCTCATCTATAAAGTCTCAAGGATCTTCATTTACCTTAGACCCAAAGAACTTGGAGGGTTCATCTTAGTGAAGTCTCTCAAACGTGAAGCCATGGTACTAGCACTTTGATTCCCACAGGGTAAAACTTCCTGATTCGCTTGAGCCATCATAGCTTGAGCTTGAGTAGTTACGACTTGAGCTTGTGTAGCCATGACTTGAGTTAAGTTTAGGAAAGCCTCCCTTATCTCTCCATCTCGCATGACCGTAGGATCTTGATTGTCTTGGGGAGGAACTCCCGCATTTGAAATCTCCCTTTTAACCCTTCTTGTGG